TTTGTAGAGGACTGTCAATTATAATAAAAAAAACACATTTGTTAACTAATAATTTAGCAATAGATATATTAAAAAAACTATTAAAAGTTATTATTAAGAAATTTTTTTTTAAAATCATAATTGGCAATTGTCTAGAAAGTTATAAAAAAAAATTTGAAAAAAATTGAAATACTTCATTTGTTTATAAAAAATTAATAAATAAATAGAGGAAAAAAAAATTTTTTTTTAATTAATAAATGTCTTTTCTCGACATTAAAACAGTAATATTATAATAAATTAAAAAAAAAATTTTTTTATAGCACCACTGTGACTTCTCTGTTTTTGTAAATTTTAAAAAATTATTATAAACAAAATATTAATATTTTTTAAACTTTTATGAAGCTATTTTCTTTTATATGCATATAAAAAGAGCTCCACGAAGCAAAAAAAAATTACGGTAATTATTTAATATTTTTATCAATTTGTAATGATGAGAGAAATTCTAAAAATTTTGTTAATTAAGAATAACCTACTTTGTTGGAAAATTAATTTTTATGATAAATTCCAACGGGAATGAATTCTTCTAAGTGTTTAGAATACACCGTAATTGTTTTAAATTTTTGAATTTAATTTTATTAACTTAGAAAAATTATTTTATGTAACGTACTCGGTTTCGACGCCGTGCGCGCAACCTAAAAATGGCGCGGAAGGCTACTTTGAGCGTTAAATTAAAATTATAAATAATGGAGGTACAGTTCCGGGAGTCAGAACTTATTTATAGCAAATTTCCTCCTCTTTAAGGATCTTTTTTGAAAAATCAAAAAATATTTATAGTTTACAAACTATAGGCGAAAAACCAAACAACATGTTTTTGAGGTGTTTAATTGTTTATAACTTTTGCAATTTTTTATGCACTGCAAAATTTTTCTTTACATATTGATCTAGACATTATTCCGAATCGAATGAGCTATTGAACATAATTTTCGTAATAATATGTCCCAAAAACACGCTTTTGAACTTGTTGATTAGACTAATAATAAGAAAATAAAAAAAGGCAAACGTTGGTTAAAGGTCGCAAAATCAGCTAAGCGGCTCTAAAAATGAATTTTATGCATTTCAGAAAAATTACACAAATTCTGAAAGAAAACACTGCGAAACAGCCTTACACCCAGTACAAATAAGCCTTTTTTAAGAAAATATATAGGTATTAGACCAGGGTCGATAATTTTTGAAACCAAAAAAAATAATAGTAGGATGAAACCCATTAAAAAAGGACGAGAATATAACAAAAATGAAAGGAAAAATAATTTACGGGCGATCTGAGGTCGGGAAGTGGAAGGGGGTGAGTTTTTAAGGGTAAAAAACAGTGTATCTTGATTTCCGGCAAAACTACAAGTCTTATGGAAAAAAATTAAATTACAAAGTTGTAGGTAATAAAGAGGCCTACAACTTTTGTCGTTACACTTTTTTCACATAACCTCAAAATTTATGTGAAAAATTCAAATAATCAAGTTTTTGGTTTTTTATTTTTATCTTATGCAAAAAAGTTTTTTTTTCCTCGAAATTTGGTGAAAACTTACCTTTTTATGTCCTAAAGACACTGTAATTTTTTTGATTTGAAATATTTATTTTTTCACCTTATTTTGACTTAATATCGAAAAAACACCCTAATTTTCAATCGAAAATTCTCGCATCAAAATATCAGCTTTTTAAAAAAAATCGGGGAGTTTTTTGTTCGTTGAAATCTCTTCTTTCTAATAATGTAAAAAAATATATACATAACTATGGTAAATGTTCTCAGAAAATGCAAAGAAAAAAAAACACGAATCCGAATTTTTTTTTTTTAATCACTATGTACAGTTTTGAACTATTTAGTAAAATTGACACTTTAATTACTTGAAAAACGTCAGATTCTATATTACATTGATAAACAAAAAAATTACAAATCCATAAATCTTAAAAATTTCAAGAAACATGCGAAAATAGTTGTTCTAAATATTAAAGATAGGATTTAAAGGGGGGATTTCAATTAAAAAATGTGATTGCTGCAATTTTTTTAGTCAAAAAGTTGATTTATTAAATTCTAATTACATTTATGTCATAGAAAATCTCATAATATATGAATAGAAATGTAAATCGTACTATTAAATTTAGATACTTTATACTGATTATTATTATTCATAATAATATTTTAAAATGCATTAATCTTCTTATATATAAATCTTATCTTGAACCCTAATCACTTATCCATTACTTTTTTGTCTCTTTGGTGGCATTTCTTCATCTTTAGATTCGACAAACCTTCCCGATTCTAGTAGATCTTCGAAATCTTCAAGACCATCACCGTCTTCGTATCCAATATTATTTTTAGTCTGAATTGGTCCTTCATCCACAATTTCTTCTGAATCACTAACTTCCTCGTAGGTTTTTTCTTCCACATTGGTGCATTTTTCAGAACCATTACAATTTGAGCATAAATTTGTGCATTTTAAGCCATGTTTTCGGCAGCCACATTTTAAACTGTTACATCCAGTTTCACAGCTGCAGCAAATAGTTTTGAGCAATATTTCCGGAATTAACTCCTTCTCTGTAAATTTGGGCATAATCCCACGTTGATGTTGCTTCCAGCCCCAATCTGTTGCTGTGAGTTCGTTAACTAGCCAAGTTTGAAGTTGATAATATGCCCTGTAACAACGTTGTTCTGCTGCACCTTCTAAGGGTGAGAGATTTGCCAATATGAAAGATGATTTAATTTTTGCCAATTGATATTTTTGAAATCTTAATTGATTCAGTGTTATATTATCATTTTTACATTTATAAATAGATTTGATTAATTGTAATCCATTTTTTTCGATATATTTTTTGTTTGCTTTTTTATAAAAAATATTGGCCAAATTTGACACATTTTTATCATCTAATAATGAATTTACAATACTCTTCTTTCCTTTTCCGGCAAATCCAGATGTTGTATCGCAACCAGAAAAACAATGCAGAAATGCAACGATATTTTTGAAGGATTCATATTTGAAACTATTAGACGTGAAAAATAGATCTTTTACATTTCCTGAACCTGGTTTGAGAAAATAAATGTCATGATTATTTGAAGTTAATTCATTCAAAAGGACCAAAAGATCAATATCTTGATCCACAATAATGACAGTTGGTATCTCTGGCAATTTCTATCGAAGTTTTAATAATGTCTGCATCAGCATCTTCTTCTGCTTGTTTACAAGAAAATCCTTGTGACTGTAATCTTTTCATTAACGTTTTTATTATTTTGTCCTTGTTTTTCTCGTTAGATAAAAAATTTTCTTGCAGAAATGGTATTTTTGCATGGTTTTGATAATCAAACTCTGGAATATTGTCTGAGGTTTTTCTACGACTACGTTCTCCAATTTTAGTTGAAGTAGCTGCTGGTACTGTTGTCACAGTAACTGATTTTTTAATTTCGGGGTACCCATAAAAACGATATATAAGTTATCTTAAAATAGCAATAAATAGGCATCTATGCACATAATTTAAAGAATATTCTACAACTTTCTCAAAATATTGTAGATGTCTTATTAAATATGAACTTATTTGGTTGTTAATTATAGTAGTATATTTCGATTTGTATTTTTTTGTTTATCAATGTAACAGAATCTTACGTTTTTCAAGTAATTAAAGTGTAAATTTTACTAAATAGCTTAAAATTGTACATAGAGATTAAAAAAAAAATTTGGATTCGAGTTTTTTTCTTTTCTTTGCATTTTCTGAGAACATTTACCATAGTAATTAATGTATATATTTTTTTACATTATCAGAAAGAAGAGATATTAATGAACAAAGAACTCAACGACTTTTTTTAAAAAGCTGATATTTTGCCGCGAGAATTTTCGATTGAAAATTAGAGTGTTTTTTCGATATTAAGTCAAAATAAGGTGAAAAAATAAATATTTCAAATCAAAAAAATTACAGTGTCTTTAGGACATAAAAAGGTAAGTTTTCACCAAATTTCGTGAAAAAAAATTTTTTTTTGCATAAGATAAAAATAAAAAACCAAAAACTTGATTATTTGAATTTTTCACATAAGTTTTGAGGTTATATGAAAAAAGTATAATTACAAAAGTTGTAGGTCTCTTTATTACCTACAACTTTTCCATTTTTTTTCCATAGGACTTGTAATTTTGCCGGAAATCGAGATAAACCGTTTTTTACCCTTAAAAACTCATCCCCTTCCACTTCCCGACCTCAGATCGCCCGTAAATTATTTTTCCTTTCATTTTTGTTAAATTCCCGTCCTTTTTTAACGGGTTTCATCCTACTATAATTTTTTTTCACTTTTTACCATTTTCAAAATTATCGACCCTGGTCTATATAGCCATCATCAATCATCAATATCCAAGAATTTTTTAGTCTCTGCAGTCTGGCTGAATCTCTCACATATATTTACGAATAGTCACAGTTTGTGATATGAGAACGATTCAAAGAGAAGTAATTTAAGTTTCATAATTTAAATATGTCTATTGGGATATAAAACTTTTAATTTTCCATAAGTCTTCTTTAACATAAACGATATTTGATCGGTAAATCTCAATTTGTTATCGATTAAGACTCCTAAATATTTAGCCTTACCAGCAGTTGTTAAAGGATAATTTTCAATTATTTTGATTAGTAATTCATTAGATAAAATATTATTTCTGAATAACATAACATTTGAATTATTAATTACTAAATTACTACAGTAGGTAATGACTCCTTTTGAGGATAGACTGTTAGAATCTAGCAAACACCGATTTGTAAACTTTATTTCCGGATCTTCGTAAATCTTTAGTAAAGTTTAATCTACTTATAACCAGATTGAAATACCTCAAATTCTTCGAAATGGTATTTATTAATAAAAATCATCCTTTATTAGTGTTTCAAAATTATTATTAAATGCGAATTCTTAAATCGCTTAAATTATAGAAAGTATAGAACTTTTCAAGCACTAAATGGGTACCAGGTTTCTAGCTACTGATTCTTAATAAATATTTTTTCAGATATTTCCAAACTGCGAACAACTCCGCATAACCATGTACTTTAGTGCACTCCAAGGAATATGGCCAATGATATTCGAAGACAACCCAAAGCTAAAGAGAATATACAACGTTTATTCTAAAATTTCATCTACGTACTTCATAATATTCAGTATTACAGTCTACATTAAATTCGTTCTAATATTTACCGAAAACCCAATAGACGTCACTGAATTGTTCCTAAATCTTACCTTGAATTTTTATTTCACAGTAACAATTTGGAGAACTATTCTTTTTAGGGGTCCAATGGTTCAGAGGATGATCAAGGATATCATTATTTGGGAAAAAAGGATTATGGAAAGTGGAGATAAGGAGATCATTAAAATTTACAATTATTATGTTTCACAAACAAAAATTGGAAGCAAGATGTACATCATTTTTGTATTAATCGGTAATGTTTTTTTCTTTACTATGCCAGTTCTCACTTTTTTAAGATCTCTCACTGCAGGGAGAGAGGGTCACTTTCAGGCCTGCCAGAGGATGTCCTCAAGGCGGCGTACTTTCAGCTCTATTGTAGACTATTCTGGTGATAACCTGCTGGACGATCTCTCTCGGAAGGAGATAAAGGACCACGCACTTTTCTTATGCAAACGGGAGTACCGTCAAAATGTCTGAATTTTTGATATGTTAAATAACTTGATGTCCTCATCAAAAGTGTCCATGAGCCCAATCGTATCCTATGACTAGATTTTGAGATACAGGGTGTTGAAGTTAGAAATCCCTAGTTCTTTAAAATGGAGACCATAAATCTCCCTTAAATATTTTTGGAAGATTTTTGCTCATTCTGTGTAGTCAAAATACATACTTAACTACTATAATTAAAATATTGTACCTTACAGGGTGATTAATGATTCGGAAAATCTTTTTTGGTCAAAGTAGGTATTTCCACCGAACAAAAATAGCTAAAATACCGAAAAAAAAAAAATATCACCGTCAAAGTCTCTCAATATTTGGTATCGTATACGAGTAGTACTCGATGTACTCGTTCAAAATTCTTATTGGTAAAATTAGATCCTATGACTATTTTTCCAAATATAACTTAATATGTACCAAATATATGAATTTTAAACAATAAAATATATACTGACATAAGTAGATATTTTCAAGAGAAATATCTTATATTAAATATTTTGACATACTGTTTTAGATTAAGAATATACCCCTTGTACTATTTGCAAAAGGAAAAAAATTCGTACTTACAGAGTGATCGCGGTTGAATATGTAAGTTAAATCAAGAAAATATTGAAATTGTTGCCAAAAAATAGAAAATAATTGTTGTTCATCAAAAAAATAGTATAAGTCCATATACAGGGTCATACTTTATTTCGGTACAAAAAGTTGATTATATGTAGTAGGATGTGCAGAAATAATTTATGATTGGATTACAGGTTTATTTGGCTCGAGTATTGTCATAAGTGCCTCTTTGTATTGTATATTTAAATAAGATTATGAGCTCCATTCACGCCACCAATGAGGTAAAGCCCCCAATACATTTTGTTTTAAGTGGCATCCCTTGAAGGATGGTTACAGTTGAACTTGCAAGGTGGAAAAATCAACAATATATAAAATTATTGCCAAATATTAGAAAATAAATTGCTTGTGAGTTCTTTATAAAAAAAAATTATAAATATACATACATTAATATTTTAAATAGCCAATACCAAACTTTGTCAAACTGACAATTTTTGGAATAACTAGAAATTAAAAACATTTAATGGAGCCTCAGAATGAAGTAGTCAATGAGCAGAAAAATCTGGGAAATTATCCATTTCTTAACTACTGTTTCATTGCGAGTTTTCTTCTAGGAAATCCATTGAGTAATAGTTATGCACACAATGAAGTATAGATGTCATATCTACTTATTGGTACTCATTCATATAAGAAAGAGTATTTTCATGTTATTGGTTTCAAATATTTAATATAAGTCGAGCAGACATATTATTGTAATTTAATTTTCACGAAACATTTGTTGATATTTTTACAGCTTACCTGTTCCTCTCTTGATTTTTCAAGGACTTCTTAAAACAATATTATATGAATATAGGGTAATAAAATATTCGTAATTTTCGAATAACCTGCCTGTTTTTATATTTTCATTATGCAAAGGCATGCAAGTCGTTTTGTTAAGTATTTAATGATTTAAACTTGGAAATATAGATAATCTTTAACATCCTGTAACTCCGTAATTTTTCACTTCAGACGTTGTTGTAATCGACACAACCAAGGCATTTTAAATCGACTTGGGTCTGATACCGTGTTAAGAATCACCCTGTATACTCGTAATGATAAAATATAAAGCTTAAGACTGTCTGCATGCCTGAAGTTTTGCTTTTTTATATCTACTATGATAATACATAATTTTTCCGAAGATTTTCACAAAAATTGATTATTCTATATATTTTGTAACCTATGAGTTTTAGATGATTGATAGATTTTATTAGTAAATTCTAAATAGTGGTGAATATGCCAACAACCTTATAGGATATATAAACATGCTTACACTTGATTTATATGTATATATTGATCTAGAAGGCTATGATTAAATATTTTCCGAATAATTGAACATCCATCTATTAGGCATTCCAAACAAATGAATTACCAGTGGGCAGGTTTGGTATATCTAAGGGTGGCGACATATGGTGTATTCTATCCACTTTACGTAAAATCATGAATAATGGATTACATTTAAATATTTTATGTCAAACACAATAAAAGTAATATTTAAACAACCAACCTATACATTTCTTCATAAATTGGCAGGCTTGGCGAGTACTACTTCGAATAAAAATAGCGTCCAAGTTACAAGACTATGTCGCTATCCCCTTAAATATACAAGAATTTCCCACTGGCACATATTGTTTGACAGGTCGTTGAAATGCCTAATTGTTGACTTTTATAATAAATGACGTTTGTATTACTTTAAGCGTTCTGTGTTAGTGTTTTAAATAAATATTTTTGCAAGTATGGCGTTTGCAAATAGGATTAGCTGTTATGTTTGCAATAGACACTTTCAACTTCGACTCACTATTCGTTAAGACGAGGACAATAATATAGATGTGCTTAACATTGCTAATTTTAGAAGACAAGCTGCCGGACATCCTGCAGTCGATAATCTACAAGAAGTAAGATTATGTTTAAACTGTTATCACGCAATTACACAGGAACTTAGAAATATTGAAAATGATCCAAATTGTCTAAGACTTAACGTTTTAACATCCCACTCAGTTCGTGGTTGTATAATTTGTAACGCACAAGTGAATGTAAGAAAACTATCGGCAGTATGCAGAGCAAATATTTTTTTAGTCTCAAATATTTATGTACCCGAATATCTGAAGATTTGTGACATTCATCTAAATCATTCGGGCTTACTAATGATTAATTTACATGCTGGTTTGCGTTTTGTTTATAGACCATTCCTCTGCATTAATATTCAGCAATTTTTGTCTGGTTTAAGAGCGGCTGCTAATGCTAATAATAATTTAAAAAATTGGGAAGACATAAATACTTTTAGTTTAGAAGAATTTAAATATTTAACTTCAATTTCTAAAGAGAATTTTCAAGAATTATATGAATTTTGTGAACCAATAGAACAATATGGTAACTTAAGAAGCATTGCTCAAAAAGATTTACTTGCTTTTCTTGTTAAATTAAGACATGGATTGTCAGATGAGTTCATAAAATTACTTTTTAATTATTCATCCCGACAAGTCACTAGTATAGTCATATCTAATGTCCGTATGTCCCTGCTTCAAAGATTTGTACCTAGTAATATTGGATTTAGATCAATAACCAGAGAAAACCATATCATAAATCATGCCCCTGAATTCGTAAACGCGCTTTACAACCCTATAGCAAATATTCCAAATGTCATATTTTATGTCGATTGTACATATAACTCAATTGAAAAAAGTAGTAATTTTAGAATATTACGTCAGTGGTATTGCTATTTTAAGAAGGAACATTTAGTTAAGCCAGAAATTGCAGTAGCTCCTGACGGATATATTTTATCAATCAATGGTCCCTATTTTTCTGATGCATCTAATAATGATGCAGCAATCTTACGGCAACAATTGATTAATGATAATAATGAATTTAGAAACTGGATTACAGAAGAAGATATAGTAATAGTAGATAGAGGCTACAGAGATGTTATTCCTAGATTAGAAGAACTTGGGTTAATTACTTATATGCCACCTTTGCTTCATCAAAACCAACGGCAATGATCAACAAGTGAAGCTAATAGAGCGAGACTAATAAAAACTCGTTGGGTTGTAGAAGCCAGAAATGGACATTTTAAATCCATTTTTAAATTATTTAAAGGCCGCATATCCACGCATCATGCTGTTAATTTGAGTGGTTTTTATCAGATTGCAGGTGCGTTTTTAAATAAGTTTCATCCTCTTATAAACCTACCAGGTACAATGGACATAGCAGTTGAAATTTTAAATAAACTAGATGACGTTAATATTATACAAGCACGCGTCGAAGCCCAAAATCTGACTACCAGAAATGGTCGGTGGCGAAGATTGAACCACATGCATATTCCTGAATTTCCTCGCGTAGAGATCAATTTCCTAAAAGAATTGGTAGGTTCTTACCATATTTATTTAAGTCCATCATATATTCAAGATAAACTGCAAAGAGAGGAAAATAATGTTTTAGAAATAGACGAGTTCACGCGGTTCGAGAACTTTAAGTACTTGCGCAAATGTTGCATCAGTGTTATGGTTTCTTGGTTATGCAAGGCACCAGAATAATATAAGATTTGCAACAACACGTTTACTAAATAGCATCGATGATGCCGCAGACCGATTATTTCCAGAAAATATCGATCTCGGTCCCATAGTAGAAGAAAATTAATTGGTATTACCATCTCGTATTTGCACCTAATACTTAACGTTAACGTCTTGGTTCAGTTACGTCAGTTATTTGGTCGTTTATCTTTAGTTCAGGCTGTTCTTTTAATTTAATAATTGACTTTTGTTTTCTTATTTACCTTACAAAGTATCTGAATTTATATCTTTAGTGTTTGTAATAAATTCAGTTGTCCTTTGTAATTGCTATTATTGTTATATTTTTCCAAGTTATGAGAACATTAATAACAATGCCAAAAAAAGAGAAAAGAGAATTGGGTGTTGTGAAAATTCTACGTACATACGTGCTAAACTTGATGCGAAACAAGACTTGCCAAAAATGTAATGATCTCTTTATATAAATAAGTAAGATATATTGAGATAAATGGAGAAATGGGTTGGTGGGAGGGTGGAACTGCGGCCGCCTCCTCGTGGTGAGTTCTGGGTTGATTTAACATTCAAAACCGGTTTTATTATCTTGTAGCTGCCCTAAACCCCTTGAGTTTTAAATCAAGCGAAGAGCTGCACAAAGCTGAATTTTTTTAGTTTTTTAATTTCTCACCCCTAAGGTCCCAGCTAAATATTTAATTTTTTCACTTAATTTTTATATAGTGTAAACCACATAAAACACAATTTTTTTACACTAGCCTAAATTAATGTTTTTTTGGTAAATTTTGACCTGCCCTATTATACAAGCAGTGCACTATTCCTACAGGGGGTAACACTTTACGCGGAAAGGAGATCCCAATCTGATATAAATATACAATATAAAGAGGCAATGCTCCAGTCGAAATAAACATTTAATCCGATCATTATTCATTTCCCTAGATCCTACTTATACCTACCGTATAATGAACTTTTTTTGTAATGCAATAATGTATGACCTTGTATGTAAACTAATAAGATTTTTTTAATAAACAACTCGCAAGTTAAAAGGCAATTATTTTCTATTTTTTGCCAACAATTTCAGCATTTTGTTGATTTTTTCCTTTTACATATTCAACCGCAATCACCCTGTAAGTACGATTTTTTTGTCCCTTTGAAAATAGTACAAGGGGTATATTCTTAATCTAAAACAGTATATCAAAATATTTAATATAAGATATTTCTCTTGAAAATATCTATTTTGTCAGTATATATTTATTGTTTAAAATTCATATATTTGGTACATATTAAGTTATATTTGGAAAACTAGTCATAGGATCTAATTTTACCAATAATAATTTTGAACGAGTACATTGAGTACTATACGATATCAAATATTGTGAGACTCTGACGTGATATTTTTTTTTCGGTATTTTAGCTATTTTTGTTCGGTGGGAATACCTACTTTGACCAAAAAAGATTTGCCGAATCATTATTCACCCTGTAAGGTACAATATTTTAATTATAGTAGTTAAGTATGTATTTTGACTACACAGAATGAGCAAAAAACTTCCAAAAATATTTAAGGGTGATTTATGGTGTCCATTTTAAAGAATTAGGGATTTCTAACTTCAACACCCTGTATCTCAAAATCTAGTCATAGGATACGATTGGGCCCATTGACACTTTTGATGGGGACATCAAGTTATTTAACATATGAAAAATTCAGACATTTTGACGGTACTCCCGTTTGCATAAGAAAAGTGCGTGGTCCTTTGAATCAGATCGTAATATTTCCAAAACCAACATTACGCTATAGGCCATTAATTACATTTATTTGATAGTGGGGTCTAAACATATGGCTACTGATGAACCAACCCATAAAAAAACTGAAACACGCCACGGTAGAATCTCAGAGGTGTTGTGAAAACGGACCAGCGATTACCTCATTTCAAAATAATTTATATATTAAATGATTGTGAATGGAGGTTTCGTCCTCCTCCTTACATTTTAACCAATAGAAATGGCATTAAAATATTTTTTAGGAGGAGCATTTTTTATACTTCATCCTTTAGGATTGGACCCATTTATAAGACACGATTATGTAAACAACGTAACAAAAATAATACGACCTCTACCACTATCCTCTTGGTTTCCTTGGGACGAACAAAAATACTACGTCCAAAGCTATTTATTGCACATTCTAGACGATTATACAGCTTCTATCTTCATGGCTAGCACCGAAACTATTACATACGCTATAACTATTTTTCTTTTGGGACAAATTGCTATCCTGAACCACATTTTAGCTAATTTTGAGCACTACGTGTTCAAGATACAGAAGCAACTTGATGTTAATTTTGATGAAGCGATGTTTTTGACACTTCGAGAATGTATTTTGAAGCATCAAGACATTATCGAGTAAGTGGGATAACATATTAGATAGTCAATTTTGAAAAGGGTTCAACTTCAAAATTACAGGAATCAATAAGAACTGATCAAGAAATCATAACTAGATGTATTTTTCTTGAGTTGTGCTCTTTTCAAAATGTTAACAATTGGAAAACTCTTATACGGAGTTTTCATCGCCTAAAAGTGTTCACTGATTTACTTTAGTTTAAGGAGTCGGCGTTACTTTTGATTTTATGCTTTGATGTCGGATTAAAATAATCAACGTCAGTTCCCAGATAGCACAAAGTCGTCTTAAAGACGTCTTTAAGACGTCTAGCATAAGACATTAGAGACGTCTTTAAGACGTCTGGTATTTCCTGAAAGACGTCTTTAAGGCGTCTTAGAAGACGTCTAATGTTACAAAAGGGGACGTCTTTAAGACGTTTTATTAATGGCTCTGTAGAGCTTAAAATAAGCTATAAATAAGCCGTCTTTAAGACGACTTACTAATGGCTTATAATGGTCTTGTGAAGCTTTAAATAAGCCATAAATAAGATGTCTTTAAGACGATTTATTAATAGCTTATAATAGTCTTGTGAAGCTTTAAATAAGCCATAAATAAGACGTATTTAAGACGACTTATCAATAGCTTATAATGGTCTTGTGAAGCCTGAAATAAGACGTCTTTCAGACGTCTTATTAATGGCTTATAATAGTCTTGTGAAGCTTTAAATAAGCCATAAATAAGACGTCTTTAAGACGACCTATTAATAGCTTAATGGTCTTGTGAAGCCATAAATAAGACGTCTTTAAGATGTCTTATGAACGGAGGACGTCGGATATCTTGGTTATTAAAAAGTAGAACAGGTTATAAAGAATGCAAAAAATAAAATTAAAATTTTTATTGATAAAATATCTATGAATCACAGGACACTTAGAGTTATTTTCTTTGTAGCGTATTCGATCACTGCTCTTTAGCCATAACTGGATTGATTTTTCTCTTTCTCTTTGATTTGTAGTTGCCATTGTATTGCTCCTAAAAAGAAATTTAGTTAAGAGCATCTAGTCACAGAAAATGATACTTTGCAAAAGTTACTAAAAACCAAAAGAACAGTTATCTATAAAACAAAACAAAAAATTAATTTCTTTTCTGTTAAATCAAAGAATTTTTTTGATCATTAAATGTAATATGAGCTATTATGCTTAATCGCCTACTTTAACTTCACTCAAAATGGCTATCTAATAGGGAGTTTTTGATATTAATAGTTCTCAAAATCTCCATAAAACAAAACAAAAATGATAATTGACGAATATCTGAATTAAATCTTATATTAAGATGTTTACTTTTAAATTAATTTAATTATTATTACTTAGAAGAAACAGGATATTAATGTTTTATGTATATAAACAAATATTCATTTATTACCTGTATTCCAGGAACGTGCTACATCGGTAACAGAAACTATTCTTCCCTCTCTTGTTTTTGTCCCATATTATTTAAGTAGAAAGAGACACAAATGCTCAAAATAATCCAAAGACGCTTTTGGTGGCTATAATCGCGTACGAAATAAAATAATCAATAATCCACAAAGAGCTTTGGGCCATACAAATTTTTGGCTTGGGCTTGTCTGTGCTTGATTTTGAGATTTTTATGGGACTTCTGGGCTCGATTTGGAGACCGCCATTTTAATGTTGACACGACGGTGTCCGAATCGGAAGTCCGGCTTGAATGTAATGTTAAGTCAAACGTCAAACTTCACTTCATTTGATTCTTCTTGTTAAATTTGAATTATGTAAACCGTGCAAGTTTCCGTCCGACTGAAAGACGTTTGTAAGACGTCTTTGAGCTTTCACATTAATATATGGATTTGTCAAGACGTCTTTAAGACGTCTTAAGAACGTCTTTGAGCTCTCACATTAATACGTCTGAATTATGGCTTTCGCGATACGTCTTACAAGACGTCTTAATAATGTCCTAGGATATTGAGACCAAACAAAGACACAAAAAAGACGTCTTTCAGACGTCGTGTGCTATCTGGGTTATAATATTTTATGTTGTATATTTTGTATCCCCCAATAAAGAATTTCAAAAGCCTATTCATATTTTAACAGGTTATGGGCTCAGGTAATTATTCCATTGCCATAAAGATCTGTTAAATTTTTTCTCATTAGAGAAGTACATACTCCTAGTAGACGCACAAATTTTATATTGGGTGATCGTTTGAATGGTGCTAATTTCAAACTATGGAAATTTCATGTTCAGGAAATTTTACGTACCAAAGGCTTGATTGAAATTGTATCCGAAGATAAATTGGATGCCAAATGATTCCAAGGAGAAGGGTGATTGGCTTAAATTAGATGGGAAAGCAATATCCATTCTTATATTTAGGATAAACTACTTAATTTCAATGTAAAAAGAAGCGAAGTTAGCGTTATGAATTTGTATGAAGATTATTTTGCTCTTAAAATGAGAGATGATGAAACAGTTGCATCTTATGTTGCAAAAGTATCAAAATTCGCTGCAGAGATTAAAGACCAGGGAGAAAAATTATCAGATAACATAAAGATAGTAAGAATTATAAGCAGTTTGACTCCCAAATTCAGAAACTTTAAGACTGTGTGGTATAATATAAAAGAGGACAGGGACATTGACAATTTATTGTCTCGTCTTCAACTTGAAGAAGATCAACTTGACAAAAGTTCAGAAGAAGATACATCGCCTTTATCGCTCAGCATAATCAGAAATATCAAGAGAGCAAATAAACAAAGTGAAAGAATTCCTATTGCAGAATTAAAGAAATTTACAAGTGTCACGCATGCAATGAAATTGGACACTGAGAAAAAAATGTTCCAATAAAAGAACTAAAAACACTAATTTCAAAGAATGTTTCAAATTCTAATCAATTTGCATTTACATCAACAATTGAATCTGTTTTATCTTTACCCTGTGAGAACATATGGATTGCAGATTTCGTTGCTTAAGAACACATGTCGTTTAGATGAAATTTTACTGCTGTTCCCAATGAAAAAATTTTTAAAGTTGCAAATAACGAAAAACTTCCTATTTGTGGTTACGGCACGATTGAGATCGAAGTTTTGGTAGAAAATCAATGGGAAGTTAAAAAAATAGAAAATGTTCAGTTCGTTCCTGGATTAACACAGAATCTTTTTTCTACGAGTGCACCAAACAAGAAAGGGCTACTATATTGTCATATCAGTAGACTCATGCAAAATATTTGATCTCAGAGAGAAAGTTGTAGCTGTGGGACTTAAAGATGTCAATAATCAACTTCGGATGTGTTTCAGACCAACTCTTAAAAATCCGCAAAAGTGGCATAAAAGATTGGGCTATATAAATGTGTCCATGATCAAGAATATAGCCAAAAGTGGATTAGTTGATGGGTTACAATTAGAAAGCGAATGGTCTCATTTTTCTGTGATGATTGTAAAATTGTAAAAATGCATAGAGTGTCCTATCCTGTAGTTCCCAAACGCTCATCTCAGATAGGAAAATATATTCACGTTGATTTGTGTGGCCCTATGAACATAGTTGGTATTGGTGGAATTCGTTTCATTTTATTACTTAAAGATGAAGCTACAAACTTTCGATTGGTCTATTTTATTACGCACAAGCCTGAAGTACTGTTAAATTTGAAAATGCCTTAAAATTGATAGAAAATATTACAGAGCGTCATATAAAAGCAGTTCGTTTTGATAATGGAACATAATTTGTTGACAGGGAAATGAATTTAATACTAAGTAGAGAAGGGAGGACCTCCTATTCATGCAGAATTCACCTGGTATACAGACGGCTCCAAAAATCAGAAGTAGGTATATATAGTACCAAATCAAAGACAAGAATCTCACTGAGCTTAGGTAAACATGCGACAGTATTCCAGGTAGAAATAGCAGCAATACATCACTGCGCAAAAGAGGTATTAAGACAAGGTAAATGCAAAAACCATTGTCATATACTCAAACAGTCAAGCGACGTTAAAGGCACTCAGTTCCATGCAGGTACACTCAAAGCTTGTGTGGGACTGTTTGAAAGCCCTAACAGAGCTGGGTAGTCAAAACAGACTAACTTTAGCCTGGGTATCAGGCCACAGAGGACATAAGGGCAATGAAGAGGCTGATTTACTAGCCCGAGAAGGAGTCTCAAATGCTCTTATTGGCCCAAAACCCTTCTGTGGTGTAACAAAGACAATTATCAGAACATGCACAAAGCAGTGGATGTTTAAAAAATATCAGGAGTGGTGGAAAAACTCTCCAGGACAGAGACAGGCCAAAGAGATCTTAAAAGGACCATCGCCTAAACTCACCAAGCATCTACTAAGCCTTAATAGGAAAAATACTAGAGTACTAGTAGGTCTATTAACAGGGCATTGTAGGCTTAACAAACATATGTATAATATCGGTCTGACAGAAGAGACCTTGTGCCGATTCTGTCAGGAAGAGGAGAAAATGGCAGTACACGTATTGTGTTACGGCGAAGGTCTAGCAAGACTAAGATTCCTTACACTTGAAGAAGAAAAACCAAGGGCAACTAGCTATACCGGAGAACTACTTCCCAGTCTATGGAGTATAGTACAAAAGACCGAATTAGACAAGGTACTCTAAATAACGATTCAAGGATATCCACAATTAATCTGAAAAGGTCGAGGTGGGGGAGGCCACATGGCCCACAGTCCTAATTAAATCTAATCTAATCTAAGTAGAGAAGGTATAGTTCAAGAAAGAATTTATTCTTATACGCCTGAACAATGGCTTAATAAAACGAGATAATCACACAATTCAAGAGTCTGCAAGAACAATGTTTGAGTTTGAGTAAGAGCTTCTGGCCCGAAGCCATACACACTGCAGTGTATCAATTGAATCGCACATCTTCTATAAAAGATTCAAAGAATACACCCTATGAATATTGGTTTCAACAAAAACCTAATCTTGAACATGTCAAAATTTTTGGTTCATTAGCTTATATGCACATATCAAAGGTTAATCGTAACAAATTAGATGCCAAAGCAAAAAGA